TTCTCATTTATTAGTTTTGTGATTCTGGGGAAGTTCCCAAATAAGCGGCAGATCCCTCTTGTTGAGGTAAAGATAGTATTACCCTCCTCAAGTATTTCTTTGATGACTAGGAGGAAAAAAATTTTTTTTAACTTATAGTAGTTCATATGTACCAGTTGCTATATGTATTTAACTAACAGATCTAACCTATATGCACATTCCACATTTACTTATAATCTACATTCTGTTGCAACAAGTCTGCAGTTTGATGTCCTGAATTACTATGTAAGGATCATTATGAACTTGATCCCTTTTTTGCTGGATCTTTCTACTACTGCAGTTCAATAGAAGAAATATCATTTTATGAATATGTGAGGCATTGAATATAAAGTTTAATCTAGGCACATTCATAAAATCTTTATTACTTTTTAGTTCATTGAATGATCTTATGCTAATTATATTTGTGTCAATACTATTAGAACATTTGTATTGAATGTTTTCATATTTTACATGAAAAATAAAACTATATCTGGGAAAGAGACATACAGAAATCTACAGACCATGCCTCAAATATTTGTATTTACATAGAATTTTTACTAATGTGTTTTCTTCTTAGATAAAACACAATTCTTGAGTTGAGATTTTGGCAAATTAAAATATAAAAATGGTACAACTTAATGATTAATATAAGTAGCATCTTTTATCATTGGAATCTGTATTTCTTCTGAGAACTGTATACTAATTTTAGAATGGTAAAGTTTAAAAGAGCAATACAAATAGCTTTTTTGTTTTCTTTTTGTATATTGTCTGGGATGGTAACAGATCCAGATTATCAAAATGAAATACTGAGGCCAGAAATCCATATAAGGACTTTGTGGATTGTATAAGTCATTCAGTGCAATTCAATTAAAATTCAATTCAATTCAGTTACAATTTTGTAGAATCATTTTATAACTTGTATGTATCTCTATTGCCTTTTAAAATGATTGATTGCTACATAAGTTTGATCATTCCTTTTTTGGTTATTGATATATATCTTTGTTAATATTATTTCTTATATTGTAATTATTTTTTGCTTACTCATTTCAGAATTTCCTATACCTAATGTAGTCCAGTTCATAAGTCACTTTACTTATGGTTAGTATATTTTGTAGTCTGTCTCATAGTTAAGAAGAGTTCTCCTCCATAGTCAAGAAGATATTTCCTATTCTAGAATCATAATTATTCACTTTCCCCTTTTTGATCAACAATTCCCCTGGGACAGATATTCAAAGTAGTGTAAAAAAGAGGTCAAGGTTTATTTCAGGTATCTAATCAGTTAACCCAAGAACAATTACAAAACAAACTATCCTTCCACAACTGCTCTTTATCTGTCTGTCTGTCTGTCTATTAATCGATCAACCTGACTGCCTACCTATTTATCTATCTCTGTTTTTGTACCATTTCTTCCTCTGTCTGTCTAACTGCCTACCTACCTGTCTCTGTTTTTGTACTATTTCTTCCTCTCCACTGGTCTCTTTTTTTTCCCTTTTATACACTACTTGTACTAATGCCACACTGTCATAATTACTGTTAATGTACTCATTTTACTTTACTGTGATGTAAGATTTTATATCAAACTCTTTCTTCAACATTGCATGGGTTATTTTTCCATGTAAATTTAAAAATTAGTTTTCTAAACTTCCATGAAAAAAAAGCTGCTGGCAAGTAATTTAATCTCTAAATTAATTTAGGAAAAATTGGTATCTTTATAATACCAAGTCATCACAAATACTGACATGCTATATCTTATCTTTATTAAGGTTTTTAATTTCTTTTAAAAATGTTCTTCAACAATCCGTGTAAAGTACTTATGTGCTTCATTAGATTTATTTTTAAGTTTTTAAATTTTTTTTATTGTAGTATAAAAGCCATTTTTAAAATATTTACTAATGATTTATGCCCAGTATATAAATAGATTTTTATGTATTGATCTTTTATCTAGTAAACTTATAGCCAATTATTAATTCTAATAGTTGATGCATAGATTTATTTGAATTTTCTACATAGACCCTAGAGTTTTCTGCTTATTATTATGACTGTTAAATCTCTTCATTTCCTGTCCATATGAAGTTGGTTTATTTTGACTATCTGATTACTCTGTGTACAGTCTCCAGTAAAATATAAAAGATAATAGCAGACAATCTTTTTTTATTTTTTTATTCTCCAGGGAATATCTATATCAGGGAATTTTTATTATCTAGGGAAAAACTTATATTTTCCCTTTAAATATGAAATTTACTGTTTTTTTAATTGTGCTCTGTCAGATTAAGAACTTCCTTGTATTCCCAATTTGGTAATAATTTTTATGATACATAGGAGTTTGTCAAATGCCTTCCTGTGTCTGTTGAAATAGTACTATATATTTTCTGTTTTATTCTGTTAATGTGATTGATTTTTAAATGTAAACCAACCACAGTTCCTAAAAAAAAAAATTGTCAAAATTGACATAAAAAGTTTTTTAAAATATTGATAGTATTAAACTATTCATATTCAATATTAAGTATTTGTACTTAGTTATACTAGAAAGAATAAATATTACTGGTATTAATGACGTTAACAAATACCTGTAGTCCAAACAAGAATTACAAATATCTAGCAAAATATAGTTCAGAATGAAAAAATATATCCAAATGGTGACTCTGCTCTTTTCTTCATTACAGGCAATGCTAATAGACTGCATCATTCTAGGTTTAGACATTAAGAGATGTTAAAAAAAAAAGAGTGAGATATTTAGATGTAAGTGTCTATAGAAATAAGTGATTAATTAGATGCTAAGGATGGGTGGAAATGAGGAAATTTGGACTGGTGCTTACATTTCCATTTTTTAGCAGCTATGAGGAGAGTGAAGTCATGATCTGTATAGGAGGGAAAACAGAAGAAAGACAGTGTGTTCTAATTTGGGACATTTTGAGAGTAAGAAAGATATTAAAGAAGTTATCTTTTGGGAGTAGATATACAGTTAGTTTTTAATTTTTTTATATTTTCTACTTTTTATGTTTTGCAAATAAGTTTGTTTTTTTAGATTACACATGTAAGTGATATCATATTGTATTTTTCTTTCTTTTTCTGATTTACTTCACTTAGAATGATGATCTCCAGTATCATCCATTTTGGTCCAAATGGCATTATTTAGTTATTTTTATGGCTGAGTAGTATTCCATTGTATAAGTATGCCACAGCTTCTTTATCCAATCACCTGTTGATGGACATTTAGGTTGTTTCCATGTTTGAATGACCTTTAAATCCTGGACATGTCATTTTCTTAGTAGCATCTAGGCTACTGATCTTCTTTTGAAATGCTTTTTCTCTTTAACTTTTTTTTTTCAAGTGTATCTAATCTAACAGTGATTAAGAAGGTAGGAATTCTCCATTTCCAGGTGTAAGAAAAACCCTATCCCAATTATGGGCCATTATATATATTCTCATGATGATTTCAAATCCCATGAGGTATTTCTCAGCCCCAAGGTTTAAAATGCTAAAGGCAAGATTTCAGTTAGCATTGCGTATTATCCTTTTGTCACACTGAAACAAAATATTTCTGTTTCGTAAGCTGCAGAGCCATATACCATTATAAAATATATTCAAGGAATGTGTATTCTAATTAGATAAATATTATAAAGAGTGGAAGATTATTTCAAATGTGGATTCTGTAATTTTCAAATAATTAAAATATTAAAACATTTAACCTCATAACTACACTGAATATATTATAATTTGTTTGCCTACTAAGAAGATACTACTAGACTTTGGGGTTATCAAAATAATTATAATTATTTTGCAGTAGCTGAAAGAAAATACTAAGAACATTTCTATAGATATTACATATATCGTAAACCTAGGTTTACTGTATTGTGTGATTTGGGGAATATGTTTTCATTTTAATTTTGGAATCTTATAAAAAGTAAATTGCAGCACTGATTTTTGGTAAAAGTGTGATTTAGTGGTTGAGATGGTAGTTTTTGGAGTTACACTGTCTGGGCTTCATTTCTGGCTACTTTGATTACCAGCTTTATGGCAAAGATATTTAATGGGTCTCCTAAATATTTTCAAACATTAATTAGTCCAAGATACATGCTTAGCACATTTCATGGCACAGAATTAAAATGTTTGTTGAGTAGATGAAGTATATCCTAACTTCTGAATCCTCCCTTAAACTTTTTACCCAAAATGAAGAAAATATTTTAAGAACTTTCAGTTTTTCTTAAATAATTGTTATGCTTCTATGCATAAAAATGCATAAATAATTTTATGTTATGTTCATTTTATAACAAATGGAAATGTTTTTATTACAGTGTTCAAAATGTATACATTTTACAAGGATGGCATTATATATGGAAACATTCTATGTGCATTTCACTCTTTAAAACACCCCTAACAAAGCATTTTTAGGTTGAAGTGGTTATGTACATGTTATTTATGATTACAATTGTGGGAGGATGTTAGGAGCAAAATTAGCTATAAACGAGATCTTTAACACCTACAGCAATATTAAAACTCAGAAGTGGAAAAATCAAAGATTTGTTCATGCATCCTATAAAACTATAACACATATTTAATAAAATCCATGTTGATGTTAATGTTTAAGTTTACATTACATTTATTGACTGAACTTAATGCCAATTTATAGTGCTGATATTTTGAGTAGTAAATGCTTCAGAAGTGGTTCATGCCTGGAAATGAGTAGAAGACGATAATGCTGTGTGAAAGTAAAAATCTTTAATGCATTGTGAAATCTCAGGCACAATAGACCATTTTGATACAGTATATAAGATAATTATACATGAGTATGTGAAAAATAGCAACAGTTTTATAATTTTGCCATATACAGTGGGATGCATCAATTACACAGTATTTCATGAATTTTAACTCTATGTATTTTTTTCTGTTGTTTTTATTCTTAATTACTAGACTACTTTGGCCAATGAAAGATAAAAATTGTATATACCAGATACTATTTATTTTATGTCTGCCATGTCCCAAATGTCTTCTTCTCACATCTTCATAGGTAGATGTTATTAACCATAATTACAGATAAAGAAACAGGCTAAATGATGCTAAGCAAGTTAACCAGATCACATAACTTCTAAATGGTAGTGTCTATGTTATTTTCAGGTAGTGTGTTCTCTCTCTAAGAAGGTGTATCAGTTGAGGTCACAGCAAGAAAGTTATGACACATTCAAATTAGCTAATTTGAGGACAGTTTATTGAGGTTGTTATTTCCAAAATGGCAAAGGATGGGGCAATAACCTTGGGTTTATGTGTGGTAAAAGCCATCAGACAGGAGCTGTAGCCATTAAAAGAGGGATGTTTTAAACCCATTGTCACCTGTTTGGGAGGAAGCTGAGAAAATAAATACCCAGAACTCCCTCTTCCATTGGCCTCAGCACCTCCCTCTTTTGCTTCATGTTTGTCACACTGGAGAACAAGGCAAATCTTTGATGCAATCCGAGGATGGAGAGTGGATCTGTAGAGACAAATGACAGCTGTTCAGATTATAGGATATATCTAATGATACCCGGAGAATGAGAATTTTTTAATGAGAAGAAACTCTATTCTTATATCATATGCAAAGAATCAATCATGACTATTTTGGTTCCTCATATTATGAATCAAGTAGCTAATTGTATTTAAATGTCACACAAAGTAGTGGGTTTACCAGTTAATAGATACAACTGGCAATACATTAACATGATTGGAAAGAAAAAAGACAACAGAAATCAGCAGATTTCAAACAATACTCTGAAGATATCAAGAGATATGTCTTCTATTTCTCTCCACTGGTTGCCTTTTCTATTCATTTCTCACTTTTTTATTTATTCAAAAAATACAAATTCCAGAATGCATCATTATGTTGGGATGAGGTAGTGAAATTATAGGACATTAGATTCTTAATGTGTTTTTATTTCGAGAAAATTTATAAACCTATTAAGGTAGGAAAGAGACAGGATCAGTCATGCCACAATGTCCGTTCTTTCGTGTACTATGTAACTTGATGAAGATCCTCACACTTAATCTGACCTTTGAGAATTGTTAAAAAATCTAACAGACTAGGGCATGATCTTATCACATTCTTACAGCTACATACTATGAGACTATAAATATGAGGAGCTAACAGAGTGTAAGTGTACAGTGATGAGCTGCCTGAGGGACTCTAGCTACACTAACGTATTTTGGAGAAAGGTGAATAAAAATAATATTTTTTAAAATAGGAAAATCCTTTTGTCTATAAAAAAAGATTCTGCAAGAAACAAAAAAGCAGTGTTTTCTAGGATATTGAAACAAATAGTTTTTTTATGCTTAATATTTTTAAAATTTTATTCATGAAAATTAATTAATTAACATATATTAACACAGAGTAAAAACATGGGCATAGTTTTTTTAGGTTAAATTGAAGCACCGTTTATTTCTTTTTCATTCAATATTTTGTTGATTTGCTTTAGGTTTTGTTAGTCTGTCCTTTTCCTTCTTTTTTTAAACATAATTTTTAAAAGTTACACTCTATTTAAAGCTATTACAAAATGTTGCCTATATTCCCTGTGTTATACAATACATCTTTGAGCCTATCTTAAACTCAGTAGTTTGTATCTCCCACTTCCCATCCCTATGTTGCCCCTCCCCCCAACTAATAACCACTAGCTCTCTGTATCTGTGAGTCTGCTTCTTTTTTTTGGTTATGTTCTCTAGTTTGTTGTATTTTTTTAGATTGCACATGTAAGTGACATCCTACATATTTGTCTTTCTCTGTCTGACATACTCCACGTAGCATATGCCCTCCAAATTCATCCACTTTGCTGCAAATGGCAAAATTTTGTTCTTTTCTATGGCTGAATAGTATTCCACTGTGTATTTATACCACATCTTCTTTATCCATTCATCTGTTGTTGGATACTTAGGTTCCTTCCATATCTTAGCAATTGTAAATAATGTTGTTATGAACATTGAAATGCACGTATCTTTATGAATTAATGGGGCTTTTTTTTATATATACCCAGGAGTGGAAATGCTGGGTCATATGTTAGTTTTATTTTTTAATTTTTTTGAGAAACCTCTATGCTGTTTTCCACAGTGGCTGTTCCCATTTACATTCTCACCAACAATGTGTGAGGGTTCCCTTTTCTTCACATCCTTGCTGACATTTGTACTTGTATAATCTTTGAGGATAGTCATTCTGAAAGGTGTGAGGTGATACCTCATTGTGGTTTTGATTTGCATTTCCAGGGTGATTAGTGATGTTGAGCATGTTTTCATGTGCCTATTGGCCATCTGCAAGGCTGCAGGAAAAAATATCTATTTAGTTCTGTCCATTTTAAAATTGGGTGGGTCGCTTGTTTTTTTTGATATTGAGTTGTATGAGCTGTTTTTATATGTTGGATGTTAATGCCTTATTGTTCATATCACTTACAAATATTTTCTCCAAAAGATGAATACAAAAATACATTGCTGCAATTTAAATCAAAGATTGTTCTGCCTATGTTTTCCTCTAGGAATTTTATAGTATCCAGTCTTATATTTAGGTCTTTAATCCATTTTGAGTATATTTTTGTATATGGTATTAGAGAAAGTTCTAATTTCATTCTTTTCCATGTAGCTGTCAAGTCTTCCCAACACCACTTATTGAAGAGACTGTCTTTTATCCAATGTCTATTCTGGCCTCATTTGTTGTAGATTAATTAACCATAAGTGTGTGTGTTGATTTCTAGGATCTCGATCCTGTTCCATTGACCAATGTGTCTGTTTGTGCCATACCATATTGTTTTGATTACTGTAGCTTTGTAGTATAGTCTGAAATCAGGGATTGTGATTCCTCTAGCTCTGTTCTTTTTTCTCAAGATTGTTTTGGTTATTCATGGTCTTTTGTGTTTTCACGCAAAATTTTAAATTATTTGTTCTAGTTCTGAGAGAAATGTGATTGATAATTTAATAGAGATTGCATTGAATCTGTAGGGTGCCTTTGGTAGTTTGGTCATTTTAACAATATTGATTCTTTCAATCCAAGAGCACAGTATATCTTTCCATCTGTTTTGTCATCTTTACTTTCTTTCATCCATGGCATATAGTTTTCTGAGTACAGGTCTTTTACCTTCAGTTTTGAAAATATTTTTATTGTGAAAAACAGTAAAAGTGTAGAAAAAATAAAATTATTTTTTTGAAAGTGTAAGTATCTGTACTTTCTATAAACTGGCAAGCACATATTCACATACACAAAAACCTCAGTAAGGTATATAATAAATGGATGACTGAAATTAAAAGGAGAGAATTAAAGTACTAGTAAAGTATAACAGAATAATTCAAATATACATTGAAGGCAGTAAAAGGAGACATATCATAGGAATATAACAAGTCTATGCCAAGGAGGATAAATATGAAAAGCTCTCATGTAATAGATGAAAAGAAGAAAATTTAAAAATTTAAACAAGCAATTAAAAAAAACTTAACTAGAAAATAGAGATCCATGTTAAAAATTATATGTTTGCCTATGAAAGATATCAGATAATATGGAAAAAATCTTTAAGATGTATTAAAGAAAATACTAAGTTAAAAAAAGGGAAAGAGAGCACAACCCTAAACAGAATAATAGCTTCAGTTAATAAAAATTGTTTAAATAGATGCAGATTTATTTCTAGTCTATAATTTTAATGTTAACGATATGATGTGTAAGTACCTAGAAAGAAAGCAATCATATTGACTGTAAAATTAATATGGCTATCCAGTATGGTAATGAAAAAGAAGGTGGAGTCTACAAGTTTTAAGGAACAAAGATTTTTGACTACAGCTTTTGAGCTCCGATAAGTTTTTGTAAATCAAGACATAATAATGAACGATACTTTGCAAGAATTCAGAAAACTAGTATCATTCTGTTTATAAAATACATTTGTATATCATAAGAAATAAATGGTAATCCAGAACTCAAAAAAAGCCATACTTTAAATGTTGCTGTAAGATTTGAAATCAATTGCGTACATATTTAAATATGTACAATATTTATGAATATGACTAAAACTAGATACACATCATCTAAAAACATTGTAAAACCCTGTAAAATAACTATAAAGGACAAGGAATTGAAGAAAATATGTGTGAGCTTAAATATAATTATCATCTAATAAAATTCTGGCCATATTCCAAATTAAAATTTCAAATACTAGAACTTTTAATAAATGGTAGATAGATATCGAATTCTTATTTAGCTAGAGAAGTGTAAAAATCACTGTTTTATTCCAAAAGTATACATTATGTACATACCTGATAAACCTAAGTATATAATAAGAAACTAATAAAAATAAGTTTATCTGACTAACAAAACCACAAGAAACAATAAATAGCATAAAAATAAAGGCATGAATAAGGGAAAGCCATCAAGTAATTTAAAACATAAAAACTCTTAGCTTCTCCTAAAGAAAAATTATTCTGATTGTATTAGAAATAGAATTTAATTTGACAGTACTTATAAAAATGAAGAGTAAAACTAAACAGTAATGAAATAGTATATGGCTATTAAAAATGATGATCTACAGTGGATTGCCACAAAATAATCATGGAGGACAAATGTAAGCCTCAGAAAAGTATTCTTCATATGATCCTATCATTCTTCCTATTTTAACTAAAGCAAAGGCAAATATATTGACATATAAATGTCCATGTATATGTTTAAAATTCATGGACAAATACAAAATAGCCAAACATAATAATAGGAAGCAAGTCTGACAGTAATAATGAGAAAATAGTGTTTATTGAGGTAAGTAAGATGATTTTCAATTGATGAAAATTAAAATCTATAACAAAGTAGAAATAGTGATCATTTCCATTATCTTTCATATAGCTTCAGAATGTGATTTGAAGTTTTACAAGAATAATTTGTAGAAGCACACTTTATTGACACAGAAACATTGCCATTAATCTATGAGCTGATACAGTAGTTCATAGTCCATGAATAAAAAAATTTCAAAGTAGATAGGCATAATAAATCTAGTAAGATAAACCTAGTAGAGTGAGAAGAAATGTGTCAGTTCCCAGTGGCATTGGTTCCCCTTATCCATAGAAGACTGCTCAGTCAAAATTATTTCCCTTTATTAAATAATTTTGATTCTAGGTATCTATACAAAGGCAATCACTAAAAATGTAGAAAACTACTTTGACACAGAGTTGTCTGTTGCAGCATTATTCACATGGCAGAAATTGGAAGCAGTGTAAAAGTCTAACATTAGAAGAGTGGATTACAATGTACATGCACAATATACTCTTATTCATTAAAATTACACATAGAAACAAAAAATGATCACTGCCCTGATACCACATTAAAAATGATATAAAGTAGAAAATCAGAATGTAACAGCATAAGAAGTTAATTAACAGCATAAGAAATTAATATATATTTTATGGAAAATATAGATTGTCATTATTACTTACATGTTGATATTATCTAGATGTTGAGCTTTTAATTTTATACTTTCTTGAGACATTTCCTAAATTTTTATCATATACAGATCTTTCTTTGATAATCAAAAGGAAATTTTAACACAATGGGGTGATCTTTATTTGAAAAAAGTCCATATAGACATATACATATTTATATTAATTTCCTACAAGTGAAATTTATTCTTTTGAGCATAACATTTTGCTGAAGACTATATACACGTAAAGAGTATATCAAATACCTAGTTTATTGGGGAGTGATCCTATACAATTATGTATATATATACACACACGCACACACATAATTTATATAGAGAGAGTTGTTATTACCATATCTCGCCCTTAGTTTGATGCCTTCATCATATTTTAAATTAAATACAAACAGGTTCTTAGTAAATTTTGGACCAGTTTTGTTTTTTCTCAGAGCCATAAATACCTACCATGTTTTTTGTTTTTAAGATTGAGGGCAGTCCTTTTTCACTCTTCAATGCTCACAGTAACTATCTGTTTCATAGTTATGATTTGATGAAATTTTATGAATAAGTGATTTATTAAATTTAATTTATTGATATATCAGTGTTATCCATTATTTACTAACAGTTATAAATATTAAAAAATACAAAACCTCAGATATAATTATTAAATAGAATAGGATAATGTGTGTGGTGGTGGCACAGAGTGTTTAAATGTATCTTATTGTATGTTTCCCTGAGTAGATCTGAATCAGAAAATAAATTAATTACCTATTACTTTTAATTTCTAAACATAAAGTGCCACACACATTTTAAAATTTCAGCAGAGGATTTCAGTTTATATATGACTATTCTCATACTTTATCTTTCTAATTTCTCCCTGTTTTCTCTATATCTAAGGATATGAACTGTGTTTACAACTGACAATTCTATTTGAATCTCACTTTTGCTAATCAAAGCTGTAAAGGAAGCATCATATAAAATGTTACATAACATTCAAGAACCTTTGCATATCCTCTTCAAATTCCATATGCACATGTATTTTCTATTACTACTAATGACAGCTTTGCATGTGTTTTGAGAGGAACCAGCATCCAGCAGTTTTCTGAAAGTGCACATATTGTTAAGTTCTTTTCCTTTCTTTTTCGGTCCTTTGTTGGTTGTTGAGGAAACAGATTCCTGGGGCATTAAAATCTGCAGCCTTCCAAAGGGATTGTATTGGTGCTTTCAGAATCTAATTATATGACATACATGATGGGCCAAAAGCACCTCCTCTGGTAATGTAACCATTTAAAAACAGTTGGTTTAGTAGCTTATTTTTACTGTGTGATGATGAGCAATAGCATCTCATTATCTGTTTCAAATTTAAAATCTCATCAAAGACATCGGCAGCACTCTTACTGAAAACTTCTTAAAAATCACTTTTAATATCCCTTTTTTTACCAACACTGAAATTCTTTTAATAAGGAAAGAAGAGAAGGTCTTCAAGTGTGGTAGCAAATGAAATAAAATAGAGCAACTTTATGAAAAGCTTTATCTAGTTCTCACCACTGACTGCTCATCAGAATCAAGTGGTAGGTTTAAATAAAATATTAATGCCTGGTTCATGTACCTGACCAATTAAATCCATATCTGAGTCATCTTTGCCTCTGCAAACTCTTAGCTTATGAGCCCTCAGCAATCTACCTTGCAAAATGTGTGGTGAGAAATTATATATTGATTTACTTTCACAGGGATAAAATTATGAAAATTGCCTACATGATAATCAAATATCCTTGTACCTGACTGTTGTATTCTTGCAGTTCACAGATTACACATGAGGACTGAAAGCAAGAAACAGACCCTTATTTTTCCATATTAACTGGAATTTAAGCTAATAGCAATATAGATGTCTAACAAAAGGAAAATATTTTTTATCTTGGTTGAAACATGTCCTGATTCCATCAGGCATTAATTTAAAATATAAAATAAAATAAAATAAAATAGCAAACAAGCTTCCTTCCACTATTCTAAACCTAGTATGAAAAATTGTCTATTCAAAAACCTTGTGTTTTTCACCCCTCATTCCAAGTACTTAATTAACCATTTTATTTTGCTTTTCAAAGAAGTTTTATAAATTTCAGTTTATCCTTTTCATTCATATGGAAAGAATTGCTAGTCAACAATCCCATTTTAAATTTAAAATTACATACGTTAGAATCAGTTAAATTCATTATAATTGGCAAAACGTTTCCTTTCTCCTTTGTAGTATATTTTCATTTGACATGTCAGGCATAAAACTCAAATTTTCTTACTTCTAAGAACACAAAAGGATTAGAAATGTTAGTGTTGATGGAAGTTGTCAGTCTGTGCTCATAAAGTACTTCAGTGACCTTTAATTTTGATATGAATAAATTTTGTTGTCATGTTCATGAAGATGAAGAGGTCTGTGCTGTTGGAAATGGAAGTTTTGTATTGATCTATAATGTTTGGCTTTCTCACACGGTTAAATTTAACCGTTTTTAAATTTAGAACTTAATCTATATTCCTACAATCAAAGATGATTGATCCTTATTCCTAACAACTCAGAATCTATATTAAATTTGACTAGGACTTAAATATCTTAACTGTTGCTTAATTTTCTGGTAAAAAATCTCAAGAAAATATTTAAAGCATCAAGAACCCAATAAAACTAAGGAAATCTTAAAATGACTGTCATTAATGATTCATTCTGGAAAAGTTGAGGACTGTAGGAGGTCTGCTCATGAAACAGGCCCAAGTGGAGGAACCATCATCTCTGGTGCCACAGGAAATTTGCTTTCTCTGTGATCAGTCCATCCTGACTCTACCCACACTATAATACCAAGTAGTGTTTCTTCTCCAATCCACTCTTGATTGACACCTCTACTGAGAACAGCTTACTTCCTGCTCTCACTTCTGGCTTTCTTTCCTGATTCCACTCCTTCTACATTACATTTACTCCCAGCTCCAACCCTACATCCATTCCTGAGTTTCAGCATTATCCTGGTTGATTAACATTTCTCTTTCATTTGAAATGTGAGAAACATTTCTATTCTTCAATTTTAATTATTTTGCTTAAACATTAGAAAATTATACTACACTATTGTGCATTGGCAACTAACATTTGCCAAAACTATTGTGGTGAGGATAAAACCTACACGGTATTTTCACTCTGTTAAAATCACAATATTTGTGTACAGTTAATATCCATACTTATCATATGGCCTAACTACACTTAATGTAGAGCTGCATATTATTAGTAGATTAAAATACCACTTTATCCCCCAGAAGTCCCAAAACAAAGAATCATTTATGACACATATATGTGAAATGATTTTTAGTTTTGCTTATCAGGGTCTGGGGTTGGAGCAAGCAAATAAGCCATATAGAAATATTATAGTCCTATCCTAAGTGTCATTATGTGAAAATTATTTTAACAATTATCTGAAACACAGTAACAAACTACAAAGACAAACAGATTCTTTTCTGTAATAAATACAAATAAAGAAATAGTTAAGAATGAAAGCAAATAATTTCGTAGAGTAGGAAAGGGAGAACCAAAGAATAGTCCATGGTTCATAGCTCTAAATCTAAACGCAGGAGATAGGAGTTTGATAGTAATACTGTCTAGAATCTTTAAGTATCCTTTTGTGTACTTCAATGAAAATAAATGAGAATCCATAGAAAGGCCTTACTACTCCTCTGTAAAAAGTCTTGTTTATGAATGACAGTACTGTTAGGTAAGCATATAACTCCTGGGAATTTATTTTTATAACTGCTACTAATACTATTTACACTAATAATTACTCACACTTTATAAAGATGATGCTATCGTCATTTGTTTTTACCTTTTGATTGTGGTAATCATATAAAATTAGAGAATAAATCTGATAGTGATAACAGGTGTGCTTGTCAGCATGCTTAATGGGTATTTTGATTAGTTCATATCCAAAGTATGCAAACATTTTTGATTACCTGTATACAGTATAGCATTATAGCAAAACTCTAAGATGAAGTCATAAAGAATTTCTGAATTGCAATCCGCAAAATATCCTTCAGGTTAAAGCAATGCCTGTAAAGAAAAGGGAAAAATAAGATCTGCCATCTATGTCATATAGAGTGTAAATTAGAAGACTGATTACCTATTTACAAAACCTGTCAATGAGCTCAGTCAGCAGCCATAGATGGAAGTTTTGAAATTCTAATGTTTTATCTTGTTTTGTAACAAAAGTATTCACAATGCTCTGTATGTTTAACTTCAAGTTGAATAGTGAATTCAATAGTATTTTCTGAGTCACATAATTACGTAATACCATTAATCTTTGTTGACAGTCAAAATTCTACAATGATCAGCTTTTCACTCTGTTATATGAATAAATACTCTGGGATAATAAATACTTTGTTCTTGAATTTATTTCTATATTACTTAAATAATATACTCCTGACAACGTTTCTAAGCAATTTTCACTCTTTAGAAACATTTGTTTTTATGGCTTATGTGGTTATGAAATAGTCTCTAGAGGAGCGTGACACACTTGCTGTTATTACACAGCTCTGCATTTATTGCTATATAAGCAACAGTAGCTTTGCTTATTTTAAAACATCAATCCATCAAACTCAGAAGCAAAATTTTGGTGAAAAGTTACTTTTTCCTTTTCTTTCTCTCTCAAAAGTAACATTTTAATTCAAAGAAGTGTATAAGAGTATACCTCAAAGGCTAAAATCTGCTGTACTGAACTTGACCACAAAAGAGAAATTTTTGATTCTACAAATAACTACTCTTAACTGAACTTTTACTTTGCACTGGGAAATGCATTGCACTCTAAGTCTTTATGGAAACCATATGAGAAATATTGTTATAACATCTAGTTTTAGATTTTATTTAATGATTTGAAAATTGGGATCCAGGAAAATTGTCCAATGAAACAACACATAAAAAGAAAACTTGTGTTTTGAAATGTAGTTATGTCATTTCTTGCTTTGTGGCATATAAAACTTGTCTGCCACATAAACTTCCTTCATGTAACCTTTCTCATACGTATAAATCCACCTCTCATTTATGCAAGGATTAGCAAATATGTGGAGTTAAAATGCAAGTTGAAGTCATTATTACCATTATCTTCCCCAGTAGAGCTTCCATGGTAGTGGAGATACGAAACCCTAAAAATGTCAGTGCTATCCTGCTGAAATTCAGCCAGCTAGTGTCAAGGGGGTGTGTTGACTATTAGCCTTGCCATCTCTCTAAAATCATGCCAAGTAGGAAGTCATGTCTGACACTTTCATATAAGCATGGTATCAGATCTGCTTTAAATCAAGTGTTAAGTCCTTTGCCAAGAAGCCATGGTGGTTGTGCATCCAAATATAAGTTTGAACTAAGAATGTATTTCTTATTATTGAGATTTTTTTGTCCCCTGATAAGATCAGTTATCAAAAAATGAACATGTGCTTACCACTTTCAAAATATATTTGGATCCCACTAATATAATCTGCTAATGTAATCCTGCTAAGACATCTCTCAAAAGAGAATACTTTAAAATAATCAAGCAAAGAAGCAAATAAAATTTGCCTGCATCTGTGGGTTGTATGAAGCAAAGCCCTAAACTGCTTGAAAGACTAAGTGGGATTGGGATTTTTCGTTGGGAAACCTTTTGACTTCTTGCCATTACTTAGAATTTCTCTCCTTTTCTCCCATTCAGCTTCCCAGGCTTTCAGTATCCTATAACTTAGGATCCTTCCCCGGAAATCCTAGGACTCATTGATTCTGTTACCCACCTGCCAATGGCCTGTGAGTGAGCCTGTAGCAAAAACGAACACCAGAACCATCCCAGTCTCTCACCCTCCAAGAAATACAGTGTGGTTCTAATGAGGGAAAGCTCCTCAAAAGGATAGGAGTTTTCCTGATAATATTACATTAGACATGTCTAGAAGTCATTACTGTTGTCCCTAATTGTGTTTTTTCCTTTTCTTGAAAGATTTAAATGAATTTACAAGATAAAGGGTAGATCTCCACGTTCACAATCTTGTGGTGGTTTTATAGGGAGATGAATGATAGGAGATAAGATTTTAAAGCCTAGTTGTGTGGTTGAATATTGAGAAAGGAAACATATTGCACTTTCCAAGGTAACTCACTTAACCAAAGTTGTTGTCTAGAGATGATCTCATATGACTTTTATCCCTTCTTCCTTTTGCTCACAATTCCTCCCCATTGTCTACCTACTCACTTGTATCTTCCATGCCAGATAGAGCCCATAATCCCAGAAAGTGAAATTTGTCCCTAGTGGATTCTCAGTTACTCTCAGGAGGTAAGAGTGCTCAGTTACTCTGCTAGAGCAACAGGTCAAAGAAACATGAAATCTACTCTTGACCTCCTGAGCTGAAGAGTTTCATCACAGAATCACTTTTATTTGTCAGTTTTCAATTTTGTGATCCTGTTTGTGGGATGCTGCATTTCACTCATTCATTCTTTCTTTCTATAAAAGATACAGGGTACACAATGAGGTCTTAAGAATATGTGTTAACAAAGAGGTTACATTCTAGTAAGCAAGATAGTATGAGCTGAAGAGCACAAGGCTGAATAGAGTATGCTATAGTAGATGTTAGAGACAATGTACTGTGTCCACTTTCAGAAATTTATAATAGAAACAGGTGGGCTGGCTGTTTAAATTAAACTGTATTGACAGCATTTTCTATAAGAAAAGGTGGTCCAATTTTAAACAGCAAACTGAAAAATTAACTTTCTTTTAAGGCCTCGTCTCTGCTCCACTATTATTCTTTTCAATTGCATTAAATAAATTAAGAACATATGCAACTATTTTTATTATTGTTTTTAATGTTTTAATTATCCAAACTTTTGTTTCTCAATTAGTTAATCTTTTAAAATGTAGATACAGTGAGATAGAAAAAAATAGAACAACAATGGAAATTTTATGGTCTTCATTTATCCACATAAGAGAAAAAGTAAAAACAAATAGAGTAAGCTTTTCAAATGACTAATTCATATACCATAAGTAACTTTAAGGAATTTTTTTAATAAATGTAAATCTCAGTTGTTGAAAGTTACTTAAAAATGAAGATGGAATTTGAAGACACCAAGATTGTTACATATACTGTTTCCTTTCCATGTTAACATCTGCCTCAATCACACCTGTCATTTTAATCTATAGTTCCTTTAGTGTTTTTTTAACTGAGGTGTTTATTTCCAGTTTTCCAGAATTTCCTCCTTTCTCTACAATTCTTCAAATATCATGAAGAACAGTTTAATACACTTGAGTTTTCTCGGTACTCTGGGAAATAACTCATTTGAACCAAGAGACAAACTCATTTAGAGCAGTTACCTGGCCTCTTACTATCTCCTTACTTATCTCAGGCTTAAATTCCCTCTTCCAAAAGTTAGACCTGTGCTCATTCCCCTTGACAGAAAAGACAGAGGCAAAAAAGAAGTTCAGTAATTCTGCTTTCTGCTGTCTACTAACCTGCAGCATGAGTTCTTAATAGCAGACCCCATCTTTCCATTATCTTTTTCTTTTTTGTTTGTGTGTTCTAAATACCACTTTTAGAAAGTCTTTTATCATGTCACTAATTTATTAAATACACATACTGGATGTTATAGGGCAGAAAATATTCATGCCTGACTATGACATCACAGAGCACATCTGAGTAAATATACTGCAAGTTGAAAAGTTTGATTAAAAAGGAATGAATGTAATTTGAGGACACGTATAGGAAGGAATGACTGACTCTGTTAAGAGTATCAGGAAGGCTTTAAAGGAGAGGTGGCTTTTGAATTGGATTTGAAGAGTTTTTCCATGTTTTCCTTTCTTTATATTTGCCTTTCAGAAATTATTCTGTTACTTTTTTTTGCTTTGATTTTTACATTCACAGTTGGATATGAGTTGTAATCATAAACTCCTTTTGTAGAATCGTTCTTTTGACCTATTAGGACTTACCACCTCCACATATTTCAGGACTCTTTACTTTCCTCCCTTCTCAGTTTTGCTCCATGACTCACAGCACCGATGTTTCACTATTCACAATACTCTCAGTGTTCTTGTCCTTTGTCAATTTGCTGCAACCTGTTAGTAAAACCCAAACTCTGTATTAATCCATAGTGCATGTCCTAGTGTGCTGTGAAAACAGTCTCACCCTTGGGCAGATTGGTGATAATAAATTTATGCATATCAAATGTGTTAGTTTGCTAGGGCTGCCTTAACAATGTACTGCAAGTTGGGTAGCTTAAACAACAGAAGTTTATTGGCTCTTGATTCTGAAGCATACAAATCCAAAATCAAGGTGTCAACAAGACTGACTTCTCAGGGCTGTGCAGTAAGGATCAGTTCCAGGCCTCTCTACTTGGCTTCTAGATGATCATCTTCTGGTGTCTCTTCACAACATCTTGCCTATATACGTTTCTGCCTCTTCATCCAAATCTCCCTTTTACAAAACACCAATCGTATTAGACAATAGCCCACTTTAATGAACTCATTTTAATGTGATTACCTCTAAAAGACCCTGTCTCAATTTTATGGGAGAATTCAGTAGAATGCAATTCAATACATAACATTAACCTTAATTTTTTCCCTTTTAATTATGTTTATCTGTATTCAGATTATCCCCCCACTCTCTTTATCAAAAGTATTTTAAATATTTCTACTCTTCTTTAAATTCAAGACATTATCTAAATCACTACATCATTTTATCAGATCCTCTTTACTCTTGCTTTAAAAAAAATAAAATAAAAAGAAGTTATCAGAAATTAGGACCAAATAGGCATACCTATCTATATTTATCGCCAGTCTCTTTCTCTTATGTATTTATACTAAAAATAAAGGATGTATTTCTTTCCCTCTCTATAAATAACCTGTCTAAAGCTTTAAATGATGTTTCTTTCCAATTTTCCAAAACTCAATGCCATTGATTACAGTTCTCCCTTCTTTATTTTCAGATTCCCCTTTGTATTCACTTTTCCTGTTTCCTATGGTCTCTATCTTATTAAAATAGACAAACTCTATTAGTTAACTGGTTGTCTTTGGTCATCTTTAAAATTTCTTTTTTTTTCCGTGTTTTTAGTTGGCATATAGTCAGTTTACAGTGTTGTGTCAATTTCTGGCATACAGCATAACGTTTCAGTCAGAATGTTCTAAATTTGATTCTTTCTCATTTGTTACTCAGACAACTCAAATCTGGATTACATTACTCACCACTCCTTACAACTCCCTGAAACTTTTAGTGACCACTATGTTATGAAATTCAGTTTTCTCAATCTTTGAGCAGTATTTGGCCCAGCTTATCACTCCATCATTAGAACACTTTCACCTTTCTTTTTCTCTGATCAGACACAGCTACAGTTTTCTTTCAGCTTTCTGTTCACTTCTATTTTCAAATGCTTTTTTCTAACCAACCATGGTATGGGATTATCTTCCTTAGTCTTCTGACTTCTTACTTTAGACGGTCTTGTGGAGGGTAAGAGTAGGTGGCGCATCCTTCTGACTCGTGGCTGTGATTGCCAACAACATGTCAACTTGATTCAGAACTCTAAACTTTCTTAATCCCTCCCCTTGATATCCAACGAAGGTGTAATCCACCTATCCCATAGTTACATCAGACTCTACGTGTGTAGAACTTCATCTGTTCCTCATAAAATGAAACGCTTCTCTATTGTGCATCACAGTAAGTGTATTGTCATTCACCCATTGGTCAAGGAGAATTTGTTGATTGAGACTCTGTTAGTCATAACTATTTGGCATCTCCTTATATTTCCCCTTGGTATTACTGGGGGATTAACTCCACGTGGAGAAGATTTTGGCTACTGTGAAACAAAAGATGGGATAAAACCAGGAAGATAACATCTCCTTCTTCCTCACTCTTAAGGAATACCTTGAGGCAGTTTCTTTTTGCAACCCAGTTAGAGAAGTTTTACTAGTCAGTCAGACCTATTTGCAGAACAGATTCCTATGTCTGTTTACAGTGGCTCATGTCTTTCCTCACCTCATCACCCCTAGCTTTTTTTGTTATCTTCATTGTACAACTGTAGCGGTACTTCTGAAATAAAACGTCACTACTTAATCTTCCTCATATTCTGTTTTCTAAAGAAAGTGGGATAAGACATCATCCTATCCCTTAATATCATATTTTTCTTTGGCCTCCTGAATATCTGCACCATCCACTCCTCTCTCTTCCTTCCCACTATCGTTACTCTAGTTAAAACCATCACCTTTGCTTACACGGGATATTGTAATGGTTATCTCACTGCTCTCATTTCAACATGCTTTCCACATTCTCCTCTTTCAACTATTTCTCAGAATCTAGTTAGAATAATCTTAGTAAACTTCAGATTTGATCTTGCCATTCCACTGTCTAAAAGTTGTAAAGGCTTGCAGTTCACTTAGTATGAAGTCCACACATCTTTAGAATTGCCTATACTGAGACTTTGCTAAGTCTTGCCTCTGCTAGCCTTGCTTCCCCCCTTTAGTACAAGTCTTTCTTTTTTCAGCTGTGTTCCCACCATATTGGTTCCCTATAGGTTGCTCCAAAACACTGTGTCCTTGTGCTCTTTTCTTTTTCAAAGCTTTCTTCCTGGAGCACCTCTTTTACCTCAGCTCCTTCATGATACTCCACCTAACCCTTACTAATCCTGCATATTTTAGTTCAAATATAAATTTCACAAGACTGGCTGGCTTCCTTAATATCCCATTACAATTTCTTATGATGTTCTAAAAAGATTGTTAAACCTCAAGATTTTCCAAGCTCACAGGAGAGTTTTTGGAGTATATATATCAACATCCCCTTCTTACTGGACCATTTTTTTCTTTATAAATTTGAATTTAACAGTGCCTTGACTATCTATTTCAAAAACTATCTTAATTCACCAATGCCTAACATTTTCTTTTCTGATATTCACAAGCTTTAAGATAACATAAGCAGTTCTGAATTGTTCTCATGTCCACCTAATCAAGAATTTCTTCCTTGCTATCAATAATTAGTCAATAGGATTATCTTGGTTTCATGCTTTCAGTGCCTTCTGAAGAACAGAATGACCTATTGTTGAATATCTTAGATTCATTTATAAAAGGTTTCTAATCTTCTTTCATCAGTTAGAATTGAGCATCTATAAAATCCATTTTGTAGTGATTTTAAAAACACTGTTACATATCAACATAGTGGCATCAGGAAACACTGAAACATTTATTAAGGTGCCCCACACTTTATAGTTCTTAAAAAGTCAGATAAAGAAAGTGCATACAAAATAAGCTAATATGTTATGAAGCTGACAAAGGAGTATAGAAGCAAGCAAGTGAAAGATTTAAAACAGCTTTGGTTTGGAACTGCAATCACTAGGTGGTCTAATTCGAGCAGAACGTCGCCACAAGGCACAGGACCCCGGCATTGTTAGAAACCGCTCAAGTCATCTGCCATTTTGTCAGATGGAGGAGCTTCCCTACCTCGTAGATGAAGCTCATCACTGCCTTGACAACGTTGGGTTCCACCTCATTAGTTTCCATTTGATTCTATAGCAACAAAATAAGAGAAAATTAATTATAGTAGATGCTGGAAACCAAATAGTGGAATTAAAATCCCAGCATTCTCATTTAATGGCCAAGAAACGAATTACACTATTACAGCAGAACAGCTTTTTTAACCTCCTGTGCTGGTTTCTGCATTTTGCACGAATATGGAGCTTATACTCTGAAATAAACAACTTTATTAAAAATGAATCCTGGAACATTGCTGTGGAGAATTCAGTCAGCGACTCTCTCCAGTATGTAGGCTCCTAGGAAGAAACCACGCCTACATTTCTGGGAAAAACTGCTTACCTCCCTCTGTTTACTTGGTAAACAGAGTAACCCTTTTTACTTCAAAATCGTCTCTTAGATGGACTCAAGCTGATGAGACAGACTGGCAAGCACTGGCATCACCAAATGATTATACATCCCATTCCACTTCCAATTCCACTCTAAGGGTGATTAAAACAAGGAAGTGTGAAAGGATCCCATTTGAAATGGAGCTGATCCAAACTGCTAGCTGGGACTAAGGTCAAAATCAGGAAGGGCTGTAGGTGTAAAACATGCCCAAAGATGAGTTCTAATTTTTCCACCATAAATATGAAGCTGCAAAAGAACAACTCTTTTAAGAAAGTACTTTATATAAATGACTTCTTGTTTTCATTTCCCACCCTTCATTTGCTAATAACAGTCCACATTAAGAAACTGCATTATAAGCCTGTTTAGCAATTTGAACACAAGAGTATGCTGAATGGCAAATAAAATACTCAAAAATGCTTTCAAGCCCACCACTTTCTTTTCTAGTTTTATGTTTAACAGAAAATATAACACTTTCCAAATGACTAAAATCAACAATATTTTGTTGCTTTTATTTTCTATTGCATACGTATTTATCGTTAGGTCTATAGACTGGCAGATAAATAGAAAGATGCAGATGCTATAATGTAAAGTCTTACATGATATCCTGGAAAAAATACATTCAATTTCTATGCAGTATCTTCTATTTTGTCATTTCCTGTTATCTTTGTACTTCTCTTTTTATTTCTTTCCTGTTTTCATGTTTCTGTTTTAACCATTTACCTCCCAGATGAAAC